ATGCAGAAGACTGCCCAGCGCATCTGCCGTGGCCAACATCCGACAGCGAACCTGCTTGGATAATCGCTCACGAAATTTGTACAGGGATCGAAAAGCCTCGCACACGTTCACGGTATGATTTGTTTCAGCTACGTGTGAAACCACTACACTGGTGAGTGACTTAATCGTCCCGGTGTTCAACCACGCGGGGTGGTGTTCACGAATCCGTTCGGACAATCCCCTGACCGTGCGGCCTATGTATGTTGTTCCACAGGAACAAGTAAATGAGTATACACAGAATGAGACCGCAGAGTCTGGAACTTTGTCCTCCAGTCGCAAACACACAATTGGCCTGGACGTGAACAGCACACGGAGCTTAGATGCATAGAAAGTCTTATCGATTGCGTCAGATAATCTTCTTTGTATGATCTCGGCTGATGTGTCCCCTTTGAACGGTAAAGAAATGTACACGGATTTTTTCTTAACCTCAGTGTTTTGTAAAGAGTTTTCCGTGCACTGAATCATCTTGTTGACTAAACGCTCCGGATATCCGTTACGTGCAAAAATCGATTTTACAGTACGGAGCTCTTCTTCTAGCGTGTCCTCACTTCAGATCTTTCTTGCCCTATTCGCTAGGCAGCGAACCAGGTTTCTTTTTATCTTCAGTGGCACAAAGCTTCGGAAATGAATCCATTGGTCTTTCCACATTGCCCTTCTATGCACGGAACGCTGCACTGCACCATCTGATCGACGGGTGATGCAGACATCTAGAAGCGGCAATTTGTGGTTGCACTCCATTTCTAAAGTAAATATTATGATGGGATGCGCATTGTTGAACCTGTTTAATAGTTCCGTTGCATTTGATGTTGCACCGATCACACAATAAATATCATCTACGTACCGTGTGTATAGTACACAGTCTTCGATGGATGATTGTAATTGAGTGTCTTCAAGCTTCGCCATGAATAAATCCGCGAAAAGCGGTTCCAGCGGAGACCCCATGGCTACGCCATCCTTTTGTCGATAGATCTTATCGTTAAACTTGAACTGAACATTATACGTGCAGAAATAAAGCAGTTGTTTAAGGTCATCCA